AAACCAGGGGCGCTGTGGTTTTCTCAAAACCACTCAAAAATATTTTTTTTTTTAAATTACTTTGTAATTATATTCTCTCACCTCTCCACTTCCCGAGGTGTTTCTCTAATTTCCTATCAAATTTCATCCTCGTCCCCTTCATGTTTTCTCTCTTTGTTTTGCATTTCTCTTCCCTTTCCAAGGTGTTTCCTTAATTTCTCATCAAATTTCATCATCTTCCCCTCATTTTTTCTCTCTCTTTTTTTGCATTTCTCTTGGTTTTACATACCCTCATTGATCTATTCATGTTCTTCATGGTTCTTCCATTGTTCTTGCATGTTCTTTCCTTCAAGTTCGTGTTCGTTCGTTCGAGTTCGTGTTCGTGCGCTGTTTATCTTCAAACCTTCGTCTTCTTCCACCTCTTCAAACTTTCATCGTCTTCATCTTATTCAAACGAACAAAAAAAAAGAGAAAATGTTGGTTTATTGAAAACCGACCGACCGAAATGACTATTTCGTCGGTCAGTGGAGAAGCACGTATTTCGATCGGTCGGTTTCTATTTCTCAAAATCGACAGGGTGTCGATCGACGTTGATTTTAGCATAAAAACCGACCCAACTGGCCGATGAACACCTTACCATCAACTGCGTAGCAACTTCCAGAGTCATGGAGTTATAAAGCCACCCTAGGAGAAGTTCATCAATGGCCAACCAGGATCATATGAGGGGTTGATTGACGTTGTCAACATGGTGGCAAAACTTGATGCTCTTGTCTGTGTAGCCCTGGAACTCGAACCTTAAGACGTAGTTTTGATAGCGATTTTGATGGCTACTACCGGTTGGCTCACGAACATCGACGAGCATGGCTGTTCGCTAGAGAGACGTCCCTCCAATTTGTAGTTCTTTAAAATAGGTAGATCAGCAAGGTTCTGCCATAGAAGATAATTCACACGCTCAAGCTTGATGGTTGTGATTTTTTTAGGAGTTCGTTAAGGGAGGGTTGGTGAAGGTACAATTTGCCTAACTCATGGTAGAAATAAGAAAGAAGATGATATTGGTAAAGAATGACTAAGATACAAAATCAATATTTATAGGGTTCAATCTCAAAACCAATTGGTAATGAGAGAAGTAACTAATGTATATTATAAACTTTTCTAAGGTCTATTTTCTTTCCAATGTGAGATTCTTAATCGTTCATTCATGTAGATATTCTCATCTTAACTCCCATACAATACGACAGTGGTTACATCCATATGCTCAAGCTGTAAGTTAAATTAAGTAACGAGGGAGAGGGATTCGAATTGAGGTGTGCCTCACAATTGGAGAAAATACTGTGAAGCCGATGCTCGCTTCTAGAGTGAATCATGTTGCTACTAATCTAGCTTTGTACCTAGGTTTCTCATCACCCACCGCAAGAAATATGACTTTTGATAGCTTTTTGGCATACCATTTTTAGAAATGGACTATGAAGGAGTAAATAAAAAAATAGGGAAAATAGTGAAATAAAACAATTGGGCGCCTAATGAAAATTTTTAGGGTCTCCAGCTAGCGTCACCTCCTTCTCCTCATTTTCCATTTTTTCTGAAAGCTGGAACCTTACCCGCGACATTGGTCCCAAGTCCAAACGCTGCCATAGTGACACTGTTCACCCATGGTATCAAGTTCACACGGTACCACCGTTGTTAGGTTCCAGATCCAAAAAGTTGTTCATGTCGCCCTCCATTAGTATGTTCTTCAGGTTAGTTATCTCTCTTCTTCATTACCTCTTCCAAAAACTTGAAAAATAAAACCAGTTGATTATAATAAAATGAAAGAGGAATTTATTTAAAATTTAAAATAAGAAAAAATGTAGGAAAAACATTAAAATAGTCGATTTGGGGTTGAATGCTAAGTTGATTTCGAAAATGAAAGGAAAATGGCTAAGTTGATCTTGTTATGGATGAACAAACTACCCTTCAACCCAAAAGCTTAAGCTAATGGGTTGGGTAAATTTAATTTATATATAGATCCCCTCACTTCTGGGCTTATCCAAGCCCCAACAAGAAGTTCGAACACAAGACCTCCCACCCTGATAATTATGTACAAACCACCACTCAACAAAAAAGCTTAAGCTTTCTGCTTGAGTGATAGTTTATTCATCGTTAATATGGTAACAGAGTAAACGGTCCTATGTTCAAATCCCTCCATTATCGTTTCCTCCCCATTTATTATGATTTCAGCTTGTTGGGTGTTTGTACAATGTTCCAAGCCCACAAGTGAGTGGGAGTGTTAGGTATCCAATATATGAATTAAATCTACCCAAAACAACTCATCTGCTTAAGCTTTTGGATTGAGTGATTGTTTAGTCATCTTTAACATGGTAATGAGAGGAATATTAATATCACAATACTAATTAATATGTTATCAGAGCCATATGGTATTAGAGCCCTATGCATATTAATATAGTATTAGAGTCCAAAACACTCAAACAAGCATCCAATCCGAAAAAAAAAAAAGATTCGGCTAAGATCGATGAACCAAAAAGAGTCATGATTTTGAAGGAGCGTGTTAAGGATCCTAAATTGAGATGGAACGCCATAAATATTGATAAATATAGTGTCTATAGCATTCTTCTATCAATTGCTTGAAGCTTCTCTCGTTGGTAATTAGCCCTCCTTCTCTGACATTCCTGCACTTTCCAGTAACTCCCCACGATGTCGCATGACAAACAGAGGGGTTTCGACTATGTTCTCCAACCCCGGTAGCCCTGAACAACCAAGATCCGTGAAGCCCAGTGAGCTTGGTGACATTTCTCGACCTTTCGACATTGTTTTGGTGTTGACCCACACCAAAATGGACCTCGATTTGTGATATCCACCCACAAACCGGCCTTACCCCTCACTTTGCGGCATCAGACTAGAAAGCCTAAGGTCATTAGAACTCGAATTTCGGAGCCCGAACCCACTCGACGTCGATCTACTCCTAACCCAAGAGGTTTTAGTATGAGTTAGTAGGGAATTACAACTCACTTACAAATGGATTTTTGTTCAATTAAAGTAGTTTTTGTTAGTTTCTAACCCAAGTTTGGTTGCCTTTGATTTAGGGAATACTTCGGCGAGCTTTAAATTGTGTTAAGACCCTTGTTGGTAAGTAGTTTCTTACTTGAGGGAATTGTTTGCTTGTGTGTTGCTATGAACAGATTGTTTTCTTGTGTACCTATAAGTGCTGTTGTATGATTATTTGCGGTTGGCGTTACTTCATACATATTGCTATTGTTATGTTGATTGTGTTCTGATTATTATGAAAATTGTTGGAGTGTTTGATATGTTTCTGAATATATGTTGGTTACGCCTCGTTTGTGAAACATATACGTTGTGGTTTGTGGAAGTATATTGAACTATTGTGAGACATTTGATGCATGGGTCATGGCTTAGAAAATATGTAGTAGGATTCTGGTGAGAGTTTGGTTATGTAATAAAGCGAATGCGGTGAGTATCAGGGCCAGGGGCTGATACGCACTAGTTGGGTACCGAGGCTCCGAGTACAAAGGTCGGGGATTGATATGTTAAACTTTGGACAAAGATGAGTGTCGAGGCCTCGAATAAATGGTCGATGGTCGATGTGCAATGAGTCTTAGAGGAGGACAAGTATTGGGGCTTTGAGAAAAAAGGACAAGGGTCAATATGTTGCAAAGTCATTGATGCCTTAGCTATGCATGGTCAGGGGTCGGTGCAACAGTTTGGGGCTTTCAGTAAATGATCAAGGATCGAACAGCAAGCGCCGTGGAGAAGTGTCGAGATCCTTAATAGATGGTCAGGGGTTGGTACGACTCGATGGAGTAAGTCGTGGAGGAATAAGAAAGAGAACTAGTGAGTTGTGATGTGAGGCTTGAGTTTGGCATGTAGATTGCATGTTTGGTTAAGCATATGCATAAACTGTTCCATTTTATTTAAAGCATGATATTAACGATAAGCATGATGTTTCATTGTTGTGTAAGCATATTTCTTGTGCGTGACCCTTTAGGTAAGGCCTGCTTACTGAGTACTAGTTGTTGTACTCACCCACTCCCTTTTTCCCCAGATTTTGTAGGTAACGAGTTAACTCACGGGAATGATGATGGTGAGGAGGAGACATGACTAGAAGGACCATATAGCGCTACATCATTTTATTTCATTTTTATATAGGATAGTTGGAGTTGTCTCTTTTTAGTTTGAGTTTGTTATTTGGTTAGTAGGTTGTATTTGTATAGTTTCTAGTTAAGGTTGTGGTTTTTACTTAGTAGCAAGACTTTAATGGTTTTTGTTATTGTCGAGTGTTGCTTTGTTCGCATTGGAAGATGTTTTAGATTGTGAATTCTCTTTTCTTTTGATGAGTTTAAGTTTTATTTCATCGTTGATATGTGGAATAGAACCTTTTAAGGTCAATAAAGTTTTTTTTTGGTGAAGTTGTTGGTTAAAATATAGTTCGGTTCTCTTGATTGAGTTAAGCTACATAGGAGTTTTAGTAACTTGCCCCAATTTAAGTCGTGTAAAAATTTTGGGGCGTTACATTTTATTTTCACTCTCCCTCTCGCCTAGGGTTATCAATGAAAACTATACTTTTTCCTGTCAATTTTTAGATGAATGTGCTAGTTATGCTTATTTTATCATTTCGAGAGTTGATTAGTTCGAAATTCTTTGCTTTACAAGCATCTATAAAATAAGTATTATGGTCTTTGAGCTAGTTAGATTCGACAGAAATGGATTATTCAAACTCCTACTCCATCTATGTTTATGTTTTTATTAAATTCACTAGGTCTGTTTAGATGTTACTGTTTCGACTTGTTTGATGAATAAATCAATTTTTTGGAGTTCATAATTGTAATTTTAATGCCCTCAAATTTCACTACGAAGAATGAGGAAACGTTAATATATTACCTATTCACCCCTTTACATTAAGGGAAACATAAAGTGTAATGTCCCCGAAATTTCGACATGAAATATCGAGGTAATGATATCACCTTCCCTGTTCAGCCCCTCTCCAACAAAAAGACATAAAGCAATTATTTTACCTAAAGAACGTATGTCTGCCTCAGTGGCTAGTAATCCAATAGGAGAAAAGGAACAATCAATTGGTCCAACAACCCAAAATACACCAGAGACTCAAATAATAAAAAAAAACAACGATTCACCCAAAAAGAAGAAAAACGTTCCGTGAGTCAAAACCAATATCTAGTACACCACCATCAATAAGTCTCTAACGCTCCTAGCAATGAAACTACAATTCAGATATCCTAGACAAAAACGCAGCTAGTGGTCCTCCCCCTGTCAAGCCTCCTCCACGTCATCACCACAGTTGAGGGTCCTGTTTACACCTAAAATAATTAAGGTAGAGGGGGGGTGAGTATATAAAATACTTCGTAAGTAGCCCTCACTAACTATTCACCAAACAGCATACTCGTAATCACAGCAACATCAAACACAATAACTAGAGAATCAAACATCGAGAAATAATAACAGTAAATTAACATTTCCACACAAACATCCAAACGCCAGGACTCTCGTGGCTTCGATCACACGTCCCACTCACCTCTAACTCCCTCGAGTTACTACTCGCTCAACACCCTGAGTTAGTACTCCAAGTCTAACTCTTCGAGGC